AAAATCTCATTGTTAAAAGGAGCTGGTTCATGGGAGAAATAGCATTGTTCCTGATCAATAAATAATAGTCATAAATTAGTTATGTACAAAATAAAAAATATTAAACTACTAAACACTTTATCTTTTGGATATAAGTATTAGCAATATGAATATGAACTTCTCAACAGTAAAAACTAATTTCCTTGCATTACTGCAGTTGAACTTATTATTACTGTCCATAGCTTTTTATCAATAACAATCAATAATTATTATTCGTAAATGACCGCTTCGTCAATAACAAATACCCTTAGTTACAATGCTGTTTTGTCATGTTGTGTATACTTACTGTTCTGTCAGATGTGAAATTTCGGGTTCGATAGCTTCCAACACTTCAATGACACGTTCTTTCGATAATCGAAATCGAGCGTGAAAATCTACATCATCGAGCTCGTCAAAATGATCAGGTCGTCTTCTAACATTATTTGGTCTTCGATTAACAATATCAGCAAAATCTTCATCTTCTGATGACGATAATACATGTACCAAGGCCATTTGTATATAAACTTTGAGATTTTAATCTTGGGAGAATCTTCCGATATATTCCGTGAAATGCAATACACCTTTCTTCAATTCACCACACAAAGCACACAACAATACAAATAACCTCAAAAGAGAGTATGTGATTGTAAAACGTGCAAAGCTTTCAAAGCAATTCCGGTGGCGTCACGGTCGTAAACCTCGGTTAACTAGCTTAAACGTCCAAAATCGAGGGTTCATCTTTAACCGAGGCAAGTGAACATTAACGAAGGTTTAAGGTAGTTGTGGAACACCACAAATGTGCTAAACCGAGTTCTGTGAGATAAACTTCCGTTAACTCGAGTTAACCGTGAATTGTGGAACTGGGCCTAATTGTAAGAGATGCTAAAATTATATCGATTAGAAATGAAAGAATGAAAGAAATATATTATAAATGTTCATTGTCATTGTAATAATGATTAATTACTTTATTCCAATCCTCTTCTTCCCAAATCTTCAAATGTCAACTGTCATTCATTACATTTTCCATTTAATTTATTTACAATCATAATTTCCAAAATTTGACTTCATATTCATTATCAGCAACGTTGAAGACTCCTAAAAAATGAATACCATTTTATTACCTCTGTGAACCTGGCACCCGACTTTTCCAAAAAAAATTTTTAAATAGCGGAAATGGTAGCCCTTCGTTTGTAGTTGATTGTAGTAAAAGAAATTTTGTTTGTAGTTTCATGGTTTAAAAGATATAAAAATTTAAAAATAACCAGCACCCGACATTAAGATTTTTCAAATCCGCTTGCGGGATCCTCTTCAGAATCGTTTGTAGTTGATTGTAGTGAATTTCGTTTCGTTTGTAGTCGAACCGTTTAAAAGTTATGAATATTTAAACAAATTGCAAAAAGCTAACTTTGTCAATTTTGCGGGATCGTCTTTAGAATCGTTTGTGGTTGATTGTAGTGAATTTCGTTTCGTTTGTAGTCGAACCGTTCAAAAGTTACGAACA